AAAGTAGATATTTTTATGAAAACCCTGGGTTGGTGAGGTTATATAAAACAGCAGCTACCTTCACTAACTTTTGATCAGAATATAAAATCAGTGTTGCATTGCATAAACATTAGAGTTTAATGTTACAGTCTTTACTACAGAAATTTCATAGTTAGGAATTGATGCCACAGGTATACATAAATAGCCAGGCATGGTGGTGCATACCTTTAATCCCAGCTCTCCAGGAGGCAGAAGTAGGGGGATCTCTGTGAGTTCAAGGCCAGCCTGGTCTACATAGTAAGTTCTAGGCCAGCTGGGGCTACAGGGAGACCTTGTCTCAAAAGAGACCAGAAAAAAAGCACTTCTGATAGTACCAATTGAATCCTGTGTTCAAGGATTTCCCTAACCTTAATAAAAGTATTTTATAATATGTAATTTTTGGATCTCTATAAAACAAATGCTCAGAAAAGAGGCAAGGCACATTTTAAAATATTGAAAATTGCAGCCATAGTTTTGTTCAAGATAATCTGATCAGTTAATGTTTACTGTGTTAGCTTGTTTGTACTTGAAATACAAGTGTCATAGGTTTCCTTCACCTAGCTGTGTTAGACAGTATTTCTTGGTATAAATGAAATTTGGATGGTCAGTCCTTAGATCAGTATTCCACTGTGCCTCCCTCTCCCCAGTTACCTGCCATATCTTTGACTGCCACTTTTCTCTCAAAGGGGAAGTCCACCATATTTTCTGCAAGGCCGGGTTAGATGAAAAGCAAAATCTGGTTGATCATCGCTTGCAAGTTAATAGGAAAAAACAAGTGAAAATGCACCGAGTGTGGGTTCAAGGAAAATTTCAGAAACCATTGCACTGGACTCAAAAGAACTCCAAGTTAGTACTTTCACTCCTTTCTCATGACTGAACTATGCGTCATGTTAAGGTATGAAACAGAGACTGTGTTATCCAAAGACTCCTGCAAGTCTTTCTTTTTCTAAAGATAATGAGAACATTTATGTTTCCTGCTGACCTGTCATGATGTATGTATGAGCCTTTTGTATATCTAAGTACATGTAAGTGATTTGAAAGAATGTACAGCTGTCTGTGTTTTCAGAACATGATATGATATATGTTTAGTTTTATTACATCTAATCATTTTGTTCCTTGAATTTTATGATAGTCAATTAAATTTCTGATATATAATTTTGAGAAACCAAACCTGTCATTTTTTAAGAAGTGGAAAAAAAATCATCTACTTTATTATTAGGTTTAGTAAAGCATTTCCCACATCCAGACTGTCCTCTGTTGTCAACTAATAGCAGAAGGCAGCCAGCCTTGTTTTTAGGGAAATTTATAAGCCCAAGATCAAGATGCATTTTCTCTTTCTTTCTTTCTTTCTTTCTTTCTTTCTTTCTTTCTTTCTTTCTTTCTTTCTCTTTCTTTCTTCCTTTCTTCCTTCCTTCCCTTCCCTCCTTCCTTCTGTTTAGTGTGTCTATGTGTTAGTGTATGTATCTGTGTGTGTGTGTGTGTGTGTTTTCCTCAAATCTTTTTTTTTTCTTTTCCAGATACCAATGTCTAAAATACAATTTTAGTTTCTCTTTTCTAAAATTGGGGAAGTATGCCCTTGCTAACATTACTTTCAGACTATTCTTAGATATACAAATTGTTGTCTCCTTGAGACCCTATCATGCTGTGCTGGTTAGCTTTAACTGGCAACTTCACACTGTAAAATGAAAAAGAATCTCAGGACTGTCAGTTGTCTGTGAGGGCTGCTTACTTGGATTAATTGATGTGGGAAGACCCGCCTTGTAAGGTGTTCATTCTCTCTGCTTGGGATCCTGGACTGAATAGGAGTAGAGAAGGTCAGCAGAGCCCAGCACACAATGCATTCACACTCTCTCTGCTCTTGACTCTGGGCGTGACTAGCTGCTTCAGGTTCCTGCTGCCTTGACTTCCCTACTATGATAAACTGTGACCTGGAACTATGAGCCAAAGTAAATCCTTTCTCCCCTAAGTTGCTTTTGTCAGGATATTTTATCACAGCAGCAGGCAATGAAATAAAGACACATATTCAAGAAAATTGTCTGAACAGCTAGAGATGCATTTCTTTTGCTCCCTTACCTCAGAAAAGTAATAGGCTCTTGAAAATTGCCCTTTGTAAAAATGGAATTCCTAAGATGGGTCTCTCATTATGCAGTGTTTACTGAATGCTTACATTACATGTAATAAAGTTTTAGCCCTATCTCCAATGAGCATAAGAATGTTCTAGGTGGCAACCCCAAGTATGTGTCTCCCAAACCTGTAAATCCTGATTTCAGCTAATTCATTAGCAAATCCTCAGATAGGAAATTTGCCTGGAAGAAATGTACAGTCTCTTGAAAGGAACACCCTGGAAAGATTCAGTTCCAACTGTTTCTCTTTGTGTTTGAAACAGAATCTCACTCTGTAGCCAGGCTAGCCTCAAATTCATGGCAGTGATCCTCCTGCCTCAGCCTCCAGAGTACTGTTATTCCAAATGTGAGACACCTCTCCCAACTGTTTTTCCTTTTTATTTGGTTGGTTGGTTGTTTGGGTTTTTTTGTTTTGTTTTGTTTTGTTTTGTTTTGTTTTTTTGGTCTTTTTGAGATAAGATCTCTCTGTAGCCCCAGCTGACCTGGAACTCACTATGTAGACCAGGCTGGCCTTGAGTTTACAGAAATCTGCCTGCCTCTGCCTCCCAAGTGTTGAGATTAAAGGCGTGCACCACCATGTCTGGCTGTTTTCCCCTTTTTAAATCACTTAGAATTCAGTTTCCTAGAGAGATGTAACTAATCTGCTTTGGGTCATGTGTTTACCTCTTGCCAGACTAGAGCAGAGCAGCTTAACCAATGGTGCCACCAGAATGCATGGAGCAGGAGAAAGTTCCTCAAGGAAGTTTCCTCAGAAAAACTACTCAGTGGTCATCACACCACACAGAACTGGTGGCAGGAGTCACTGTGCAAGGAAATGGTCAGCTGTGGAACAAAATGGGCAAGAATCAAGTTTTGGGGAGGAGATGGGCCTCCTGCTAGTCCTTGAGCTATTCTCAGAATGCTGCAATTACACCAGTCTATTTGGTATGGGACATTAGTGAGGAATAATGCAGAGAAGCTGGGCAAGATAGCTGGTAAACAGTGTAGATCTGGACTTCTTCTCTGCACTGGAGCCAGCCCAGTTGATTGGTTTGTTTCTGTTTCATCCTAGCCCATGGTGTTTTAAATAAACATATTTAGAGAGATTTGTTGAAGAGTTGTGTGTGGAACAGAGTGGAGTGAAGTCAAGGATCAGTGGCAAGGAAAACCACAGGCTGTTTTTTAAATAAACTTGCCTTTGATGGTAAGTCCTTATAGTACAGCCATCAAGGTTTCTGTTTAAATATGCATATGTCAGTAAATATAAAAGTCAAAATTTGCCCAAGACTCTTAACTCACTTGTATTTCATAATTAAAGTCTACATTTAAAAACCAAACCGGTCATGAAAGTATTACATACAACAGGGCAGTTTAGATAAGTTAATGTTGCTATGGGAACCCCAACAGATCCTTTTGTGTCTTCATTTAAAAACCATGGCCCAAGGTGGTTTTCAAAAAACAACAGAAGGTAAAATTATTCTCACATTCTCACACATGTAAATTGTACTGTCTCTCTCAGTTCTAAATAGCAGATTCAAGCCAGTCTCTTGACTGGCACAGTAAAATTCAGCTTCATGTCTTTCTATAATGTATTACAGCATGTGAGTTAACCTTTAAAAGCTTCAAAAATACACCAGACAAATTTGGACTCTGAGACACAAACTGGGCTGTCTTGGGCCCTGTCCAGCACAGACCTCCTATTTCACACAGCTGCACAGTAGGCCCTTCCCTGGTGTCTTGTTTGTCTGGTCAGTCTTTCCCCCAGTTAGCCTACCTACATTAACCTTCTTCGGGTTTGCTGGTGGACAGAAATCCAGATTTAGGAAGAAAAAGCAAAGGAAAGCCTGTTTGGAATTTTGCCTGTAGATACTGAGAAGTCATGAGATGTTACAAATGTATCTGCAAATGTATTAGCCTAAAATATTGGATAACTGCATGAAATTCCAATTTTCTCTTTCATATCCATAAAGCTAGGACCAGTTGGTTAGGCAGAGCCTGATATTTAAAAATCCATCTTCTAAGGGAGCTGAATTTCCATGCGTCCATTTTCCTTCTAACAAGAAAAGGTGTGTTCCTTCTTCTTATACTATGAAGACAATGATTCAAAGTGCACTCTATATTTTTCTCCAATTCTAAAAATTCACTTTCGAGCACTGTCCAAATATAAAAATTCTCCCTTGAAGAACTGCTTCAGAAGGTTGTAAGGAAGTCAAGATAACAGTTTCTATTATTACAAGTTTTCAGTATGTTGCATTTGTCTGCATTGAAACACTCAGTTGACATTGACTTCTGAGAACTTATTTGCTTCTGTTGTTTCGGTTCCATGTGCCTTGTCTCTGAATTGAGAGTATATCCTGCTTTCTACCACTAAGTACTTCTAGATCATTGCTGTACTCCAGTTTATGTATGAAAATTCCCCCCCTATGCAAATAGCTGCCTTCCTGGGGCAAAACCTGAAGTCATCTGAACCACCTGGATGATGAACTTCAGGTAAGTTTCTTTCTCACCCTAAAACTGCTTTGCTGTACTCCTGTGGCTTTCCAGTGCATCCAAGTTCTGAAGCCCAAAAGTATTAGCTTTGTTACCTAATTGGTTCTGATGTTTATTATGCTCCTCACAAGTACAGATGACCTCACATTTGCATCGCTAAAAGACCTCTCTCAAAGCCTCTGTTCCTCCTTCCTCTCTGTTAGTCATCGGTAGACTACATGTTGGCGGGGTAGTTTCCCTGCTTTTGAAAGCACAATGTAAATTTCAGAGCACTGAGTATGTGAAGTATTGTTATTATTAACAGTGTAGAAGACGACATATACAGTACCCAAAAGATACTGCTTCAGTGGTTTCCTGAGACATTGTAAGACAGTATAGTACTGTGGAAAAAGTACTGCCTGAGAGTCTCACAGGAAAGCTTCAGTCTTAGTTCCTATTGAACTATTTCTCTCTCCATTCAGCTCTGTGAGTGCTGCGTTTCATACAGTACTTCATTTGATCCCCAAGATCCTATGAATTATACTTTACTGTGAGCATTTAGCAGATGAGACTGGGGCTCTGAATGTTAGGTAACTGGTCCAGGATATTAGAGCTATTAAGTGGCAGAGCCAGAATGTAGACTCAGAACTGGCTTACTTCAAAATCTTTTTATTTATGGACTCAGGCACTGCTGGGAAAGGTGCGGGAGAAGAGAGCTCTGGAATCAGGTGCAGCGCTGTAGCAGTGGGTGGAAGTGGCTCAGAGGGCCTTCAAGGTTACTGCTCATTCTATGAAATAAGGAGATTGCCTTCATACAGTGATAAATTGTCAAGAAGGAAGGGGAAGGGCTGAGAAGAATGAATGACAAAGCAAAAGCTCAGTCAGCCCTCGCTAGCATTCTGAGCATGCGCAGTTCCGCTCTGGCCCCACCCCCTTCATTCTGGCCTTGCACTTGGCATCCCTCCTGGCAGAGCATGCATTCCTTGCATGTGCCTCACTTTAAATTTAAAAAAAATATTCTGTGCTGCAAGGGGGGAGGGAAGCCCTTCAAATGTCTTCAGAAGGACTCAGCTCTACTGTAATCTAAAATATGTAAAATCAGGAGGTGTTCAGTAATAAAGCATGAGTAAAAACATCTTTATTTAAAACATTGTATGTACATTAATGCCAATTCAAACATGAAATGTTGAATGTTTCTTGGAATATGGTTTGGGGTTTGAGAGGCACAAAGGTACCAACAAGATGGCTTTGGTGTAGTTGTAAATATAAATAGAAGTAAAATAACAGTTGCATCTTCATTTATAATGAATCTATATTGTGGCCTCAGAACTAGAGAAGAAAGTAGATGCCAAAATCTGTCTTTCATTAACATATGCCTTAAATGACAGGGAAGAGGTGTTGAAGACAAAATTACTTTTTCCTATGAGTATGAATCAGCAGCATGCAGCAACAAGCAAGTAATAATAGCTCTGCGGGTGTCTACAGAGGGCAAGAAAAATAAGCATCTATCCGGAAAAAAATAAATGCATCTACAGGAGGAGCCCAGAAGCCCACAGCGCCCAGCCCCCTAGCACCATTTCAGAGGGTCCCAGAGCACAATGACCCCAACTGTGGAAAAGCATTAAAACCTCCAGATAGTCAAAGACAGCCCACCCTCAAGAGGACCCTGCCTCTGGAGCTGGTCAGAGGCAAAGCACGGGCGCCACTAGCTTGGCCAAGAGTTTAAAACAACAAC